AGCCAGATGGCCCCTTGTGATTCCCTAAAAGGAAGACAGTTCTTTTGTGATACTTTTTCTGAGTGGTTAAAGAAGATATTTGGTTTTGGTGTTCACAGAGGCCATTTCATTGTACCCATTAGAAATAAAATCATTTGTTGCAAAGTTTTACACAAACCATTCGGTGTGGCAGAAGACAGGACATTGCTCCCATATCCTGGACAGAGCAATGTCACCTAGCTACTATTCTCTCCCTAATAACAGCTAGAATAACCGTTAGTTAATTCTAGAGTTACATAATTTCCAAAATAATTTCACATCTAATTTTTTTTTACTTTACATTTGAGCTCTCAGTAGTTTCTGCAATTATTAGTGAGAGAGACTCTGCTGCATAGCAGTTCAAAGCCCTTTCCAAACTGATTTCATCTTATTGATCTCTCTTTAGCTCACATCACTCCTAGCAACAGAGTCTTATCGCATCGTGCTATTCACCATCTCTTGAATACCTCATATCCTTTAGCTCCTCTGTATTTTTGCTATACTGTCCTTTTATATCCCTTACCTATTTTGAGAACTCTGACTCAGCCTCTGGTCAGGCCTACACATTATATCTTCTATAGGTAAATGTTCTTTCCTTTGCCTCATTAGAATTCATTGATCCCTTCTTGGGTGACCATACTGGTTTGGTATCACAGGACAATGTATTTGCTGCATGAGTAGCTTAACTTTTCTTGAGTTTTTCTTACATTATCTGAAATGCATTTGTATCTTTCAGAGGAATTCAATGAAACCTAAATACTAAACCATATTATATACAAATATAATAGATTAGTATTAATAGTAGGAATATAAACATAGACTTCAGATTATAACTATACCAGTTTCCTTGATTCTTGAGCACAACCATCCTGCTTTATTCACCTTTGTAACCTAACCACTGAGTCCAAGTCCTGATACATAATAAATCAGATCGAATCATTAAAAGTAAGCAACAGAGATACTATTGTTATCATTTTGCATTTGAAATTGAGACCTCAAATGCTAAGTGATATAATGATTTAATTATTAAGTCCTAACCACTTTTCCTGAAGTTCACCAATAGAACTTTCAACAACCTCTGGACTTGTACTCTGACTTGTAACTAGTATTAAAGGTAGGATTTCTGAATGTATTGTCTGGGACTACCTGTTACAGACTGACTTCTGAAGATGCTTATTAAAAATGTAAAATCAAATCTCAAAAATGTAATGTTGGGGAAGAAAAGCCATACACATAAAACCAGAAATGAAAGAGAAGACATTGCTGTCAATTTCACAGAAATAAAAAGGATGATAAGTGAGTACTATGAACAACTGTATGCCAACAGATTGCATAAGCCAAATGAAATTGTCAAATTCCTGAAAACACACACCTATCAAGACTGAATCATGAAGAAGTAAAACATATAAATAGATCTATAACTAGCAAAGATATTCAATCAATAACCAAAAACCTCCCAACAAAGAAAAGCCCAGGACCAGTTGGTTTCACTGGAAAATTCTACCCAACATTGAAAGAAGAACTAACACCAGTTGTTTTCAAATTCTTCCAAGTAATCAAAGAACAGGGAATACTTTATGATTCATTCTGTGAGGCCAAAGTCAGATAAAGACACTAAGAGAGAAGAAAACTACAGACCAATGTGTCATATGAATATGGGTGCAGAAATCATCAACAAAATACTAGCAAACAGAATTCAATAGCACATTAAAAGTATTGTATACCATGATCAAGGGGGATTTCTTCTTGGAATGCAAGATGTTCAGTATAAGAAAATCAATTAATGTAACAAAGCATATTCTCAGAATGAAGGAGGAAAATCTGATCATCTCAACGGATGCAGAAAATGCATTTGACAAAATTCGTTACTCTTCCATGATAAAAACACACAACAAACTAGAAGGAAAGTATCCCAACATAACAAACACATAAATACCATATATGAAAAGTTCATAGCTAACATTATGTTCAGTGATGAAAGAATGAAAGCTTTTCCTCTAAGATCAGGAATATGAACTAGGATGCCCACTCTCATGCTTCTACTCAACATGGTATTGGAAATCATCACCAAACCAGGCAAGAAAAAGAAATAAGAGGCATATGAATTGGAAAGGCAGAAGTAAAATTATCTCTTTTAAGAAATGATATGATCTTAGTTGCAGAAAACCCTACAGATCCCCCCCTACACACACACATACAAAAAACAGCACTAATTAAGGACTTAACAGTGTTACAGGATATAAAGTCAACACATAAAAACCAGTTGCATTTTGTACACCAACAATGAACAATCCTGAAAATGAAACTAAGAAAACAATTCCATTACAATGGCATTAAAAAAAGAATAAAATACTTAGGAATAGCCTTAATGAAGGGAGCTAAAGACTTGTACATTGAAGACTACAAAGCACTGCTAAAAGAAATTAAAGAAGAGACAAATAAATGGAAAGATATTCCATGTTTATGGATTAGAAGACAATATTGAGTCAGTACTCCCCACAGTGATCTACAGATTTAAAGCAATCCTTTTCAAAGTCCCAACTTTTTTTTACAAAAATAGAAGATTCCATCCTAAAATCCATAGATGGATTCAAGAATTCATCCTAAAATCCACCCTGAAATTCAAATTCAAGGAACCCTGAATAGCCAAAACAATCTTGAAAAAGCAAAATGAAGTTGAAAGCTTTGTTGTGTGTTTTTATCATGACAGTGCCTCATTTCAAACCTTACTACAAACCTACAGTAATCAAAACAGTGCAGCATTTGTTTCAATAAAGACATATAAGCCAATGAAATATAATAGAGAACCCAGAAATAAACCTTTATATATATGGTCAAATGATTTTCAACAAGAGTGGTCTTGGCCATTCTTGGTAAAGGACAATCTTTTCAACAAATGGTGCTGGGAAAATTATATATCCACATGTAAAAGAATGAAATTGGACTCTTACCTTACACTACACAAAAGTTAATTCAAAATGGATCAAAAATCTAAACGTAAGAGCTGAAACTATAAAACCCTTTGATGAAAACAGAGGAAAGCTTCATGACATTGGATTTCTCAATGATTTTTTTAACATTACACCAAAAGAAAAAATAGCCAAGGAAAAATAGATAAATTGGACCACATACAAATTTTAAACTTTTGTGCATCAGATGACGCTAACAACAGAGTGGAAAGGTAACCTACAGAATGAAAGAACACTTTTACAAATTATATATCTGATAAGGGATTAATATCTGGAATATTTAAAGAACTCCTGCAACTCAACAACAATACAAACTACACAAGTAACCAGATTTTAAAATGGATTTAAATAGACAATTTCCCAAAGATCTTCTTTGACCAGTAAATACTAATACATTAAAAGATGTTCAACATCATTAATCATTAGGGAAATGCAAATCAAAACCACAGTGTTATACCACTTTACACCCGTTAGGATGGTTATTATTAGAAAACAAAACAACACCAAAAGAGAAAATAACAAGTGTTGGCAAGGATATGGAGTAATTGGAACTCCTGTGTGTTGCTGGTAGGGATGTAAGCGGTACGATCAATATGGAAAACCCGTATGGTAGTTCCTTAAAAATATAAAAATAGAATTATCATATGATTCAGCAATTCTACTTCTTGGTATATACCCAAAATAATTGAAAGCAAAGACTCAAACAAATATTTGTGTATGCATGTTCATAGCAGCATTATTCACAGTAGCTTAAAAACCCAAGGATCCACCAGTGGGATAATGGAAAAACAAAGTGGGTATATTCATGTAATACAATATTATTCATCATTAGAAAGGAAGGGAATTCTGACAGATGCTACAACATGGATGAATCTTGAAGAAATTATGCTAATCGAAATAAGCAAGTCATAAAAGAACAAATACTGTGTTATTCCACTTATATAAGGTATACAGAGTAGTCAAATCACAGAGATAGAAAGGAGAGTGATGGTTACCAGAGGTGGGGGAAAGGGAGAATGAGAGTTAAAGGACACAGTTTCAGTTTTGCCAGCTGAAAAAAATACTAAAGATAGATGGTGGTGATGGTTGCATAATGCAAATATACTTAATGCTTTCGAACCTGTATACTTAAAAATGGTTACAATAGTACATTTTATGGTATGTATATTTTATCACAATTTTAAAATGTTTAAAATTTTTATAATGAAAAAGGAAGACATAAAAGAGTCTGTGCTGTCTGATTTAATTTATTTAAACTGCGAAAATAAATCTATGGTGTTAGATGTCAGGACAGTGACTATCCTTGGAAGAGGAAAGTAACTGGAAAGAAGTATGAAAAGGCTTCCAGGGTGCTGGTGATGTTCTGTCTCTTGATCCGGATGCTCTAACATGGATGTTCAGTCTGTGAAATTCTTTTGAGCTATCTGTTTATGATTTATATTCTACTTTTTCCTATATAAATATTATACTTCCAAAAAGATTTTAGCAGTGTCAGTCACAGACCCCACAGCAGACCTATGGAATCAGAATCTCTGGAAATGGGAACTCAGGGCCTTGTATTTTAAAAATCTCTTTTCTAAGTTTTTCTTAAGACTATTGGATTTTGAGAATCTTTGCTAAGGGAAGAGGATTCAATAAACATTCTTCCAGTGCCCCAGATTTCTTCAATTCTATTCTAATAATAAGTATTTGCTGGAAAAGAAATTTTTTATTTCCTTGAGTCATTTACTTTCTTCCTGTTAGGAAAATGCACATACTTTGTAGGTGCTAAGACAAGACTAAGAAATCAATGACATAAAAATGCATAGTTTAATATTTTATCTTTGAAACTATTATCCTAAGCTGTCATACATACTATAATTTATGAATATTGGAAAGAGTGAAAACAGTTTTACTGAGGCCCTATAAAATATGGCAGGTGCTAGGACCTCATGGAACTCAGTATCTTCAGTAGGATGTGAAACATCACATCATGGGGCGTGGTACAGTGTGAGCAGGTAAAGAAAAGCCAGTTCTTCCACATGTAAACGACTTGAACTCCATTTCATCTTTTTTCATACCATCTCCAAGATTTCAGCAGCTTTCACACTTGCTTGTTAAACTGAAAGCATGTTTCTTGCAAATGCTCTATTGGAAGGAGCAGATCGAGGTCTTGGAGAAGCTCTTGGAGGCCTCTTTGGAGGAGGTGGGCAGAGAAGAGGAGGAGGAGGAGGAGGAAATATTGGAGGGATAGTTGGAGGAATTGTGAATTTTATCAGTGAGGCTGCAGCAGCTCAGTATACTCCAGAACCACCTCCTCCTACTCAGCAGCATTTCACCAATGTGGAAGCCTCAGAAAGTGAGGAAGTTAGGCGATTTCGGCAGCAATTTGCACAGCTGGCTGGACCAGACATGGAGGTGGGTGCCACTGACCTGATGAATATTCTCAACAAAGTCCTTTCTAAGCACAAGGATCTGAAGACCGATGGTTTTAATCTTGACACTTGCCGGAGCATTGTGGCTGTCATGGACAGTGACACAACTGGGAAGCTGGGCTTTGAAGAATTTAAGTATCTGTGGAACAACATCAAGAAATGGCAGTGTGTTTATAAGCAGTATGACAGGGATCATTCTGGGTCGCTGGGAAGTTCTCAGCTGCGGGGAGCTCTGCAGGCAGCAGGCTTTAAGCTAAATGAACAACTTTACCAAATGATTGTCCGCCGGTATGCTAATGAGGATGGAGATATGGATTTTAACAATTTCATCAGCTGTTTGGTCCGCCTGGATGCCATGTTTCGTGCCTTCAAGTCTCTGGATAGAGATACAGATGGTCTGATTCAAGTGTCTCTCAAAGAATGGCTGCAGTTAACCATGTATTCCTGAAGTGGGCAGTGAAAAGTCAAGACCCTCCCTGGTGGACTGAAAGCCTTGCCATGCTGTACACAGTTGCTGATACCCTGTGCAACAGCTGTCATTTCCCAGCGAGCTCTTTCACAATCCTACATATTTCTGATCATGTGCTGCCTTTTACTGCTGAATTAAAACAGATATTTCATGAAAAATGTTCTGAGTGGTTTGTATATCAGCTTTTTGAGATTTGGATTTATATGGACTTACATATGTATGATGGGGAGGGTGTGGGATAGAGTTCTAATGGAGTAGATTTTAAAAGGTGCTGCTTATTTGGTGAATAAATTTTAAGGAGTAGGAGCTTTATTGTTGTTGCTATTGTTGTTAAGAGTGATTTTTTTTAAATCCTGTAATAAATCAAGAAAGCCCTCAGGAGATACATTTTTCTTTTTAAAAAGTTGAGGAGAGAAGTTCAAAATCTGTTTTTCTTGTAATTTTATACCTGGTCTTTCCATTATGCAAAAAAAAAAAAATGAAGTGCTTTTTAGAAAACGCATTTAACTATAAAGAAACAGGTTCAGATAGTGAAATTAAGCAGTTTTACATAAGGGTAGCATTTTTTCGAATGATGGAGCTACTATCTAAAATTCTAAAGTTCTTTAATTCTGTTTCTTTAGTGAAAAAAAAGCACATAGCAATTTTATTTTGTTTTGATACATTTGTAAAGAGAATTAAAGACACTGGGGAATAAAATCGTATAGTCATAGTTCAAAAATGGCTCTCACTGCCTTAATGAATCAGAATGTTTGCTCTTACATATACTTTATACAAAACTAGGCATGCCCTGCCGATGTTAGCCAGCTCTTGTCATGTCTTGTCCTGCCTTAGAGCAAGGAAAATTCTTTTGTTCATCTTTGAAAACTACAGGCAGGAAAAAACAGCAAACAAAGAAAAAAAAAAAAAGAAAAGAAAAACACATGAACAGTAATCAGTTCAATGGAATGTAAAGCAATATAGAGAACACATATTGCTGACTATTGCAGTTGTTCTCAGCCCTGGCTGCAATTTGGAATCACTGGGAGAGCTCTTTAGGAATACTAACACTTGAGTCTCACTCCTAATATGTTAAATAAGACTCTTTAGAGGTGGGCCCCGGAGATGAATGTTTTTAAAGCTCCTCAAGTAATTCTAATAATTAGCCAAGGTTGACAGCCTTGATTGCTTTAAGGCAGGGCTGCCTCACAGTATTTTTCAAGCCTGTCTCAGCCAAAACTGAGCCCAAGCAGAAGAGTCAATGTTGCCAGCATTCACAAGAAGGTAGATAGAAATACCAAGAAACTACCACCCAGAAGCTGGAGTAGTTGTGCCTTTCTTGTGTACAGACCTTGGTTTGGCTCTATAATTTTGATAACAGGCTATTACAGCAGAGCAGACAGAATCCTGAATCCCGGTGCCAGTAGACACAGCTAGAGAGGCTGCATTTGTAAGTGCTCAGTTCCTCTGCCTGCTGTTTAATTGGTCTCTACTCCTTCTTCTCTGATTTTTAATGCATTGTCTCTATCCCAGGCTACTTTGAAGGGTCATCTGGAGATTACAGATAAATTCTTCCTTCCTCTTTGGACTCATTTAGAAGAAAGTCGCAACTATGGAAATGATGTAACTAGCCTGTTAACATCCCTCAGCTTCCTGTTAGAAATCCCCAGTGAAATCTGGAGAGGTTGGCATTTGGCCTTTGTGTTCACCATCATCACCATCATCTAATATTTATGAAACACCACACACATATAATTCTGAACTGAGCCAAGCACAGAGATCACATCCACTTTCCTCAGGGGGCTTATAATTTAACCTTGGTCTGGTATGCTACTCAGACCAGGTGTGGTTACATAAGAATGAGGCTGCTGCCAGCAACCACATATTAATATCAATCTCTCTATTTTAGAGTAAGTCCAGGAATACATTAGGCATGGATTTAGTAAAGTAGCCAAGAAAGGGGATAGCTGCCAGACATCTTTTAAGGTCTCAGAATATTAGATTTATAATTTAAACTTTCCACAGGATGATTGTAGAAAGAACAAGGTAACCACATTTTTTTATTATACTTTAAGTTCTGTGGTACATGTGCAGATCATGCAGGATTGTTATATAGGTATACACATGCCATTGTGGTTTGCTGCCTCTGTGTCCCCTTCACCTACATTAGGTATTTCTCCTAATGTTATCATCCCTCCCCAACCTCCCCACCCCCTGCTATCGATCACCTAGACCCCCACCCAACAAATCCCCAGTGTGTGACGTTCCCCTCCCTGTGTCAATGTGTTCTCATTGTTCAACACCCGCTTATGAGTGAGAACATGCAGTGTTTGGTTTTCTGTTCTTGTGTCAGTTTGCTGAGAATGATGGTTTCCAGATTCATCCACATCCCTGCAAAGGACATGGACTCACCCTCTTTTATGGCTGCATAGTATTCCATGGTGTGTATGTGCCACATTTTCTTTATCCAGTTTATCCTTGATGGGCATCTGGGTTGGTTCCAAGTATTTGCTATTGTAAACAGTGCCACAGTGAACATACGTGTGCATGTGTCTTTATAATAGAACGATTTATAATCCTTTGGGCATATACCCAGTAATGGGATTGCTGGATCAAATGGAATTTCTATTTCTAGATCCTTGAGGAATCACCACACTGTCTTCCACAATGGTTGCACTAATTAACACTCCCACCAACAGTGTAAAAGCATTCCTGTTTCTACACATCCTCTCCAGCATCTGTTGTATCCAGATTTTTTTAATGATCATCATTCTAACTGGCATGAGATGGTATCTCAATGTAGTTTTGATTTGCATTTCTCTAATGAACAGTGATGGTGAACATTTTTTCATATGTTTGCTGGTGACATAAATGTCTTCTTTTGAAAAGTGCTTGTTTGTATCCTTCACCCACTTTTTGATGGGGTTCTTTGTTTTTTTCTTGTAAATTTGTTTTAGGTCTTTGTAGATTCTGGATATTAGCCCTTCATCAGATGGGTAGCTTCTTGGGAGTTTATCACTGCAAAATGTCTTCAAAACCATATCCTTAAATTTTGCTAAACATAAAACGCTGTAAAGAGTATCTAATTCCACATGAAAAAAGATGTTGAATAAATTCAACTATGAAATAATGAAAAGGAACTGATACCTAAGAATCAGACACATAAAAATTGCCCCTTATTTTTTCAAGAGTTTTAAGTGAACAATATTTGAACAAGTGGCCTAGAACTTCCTGCTTGCCCTAAAAGCTGATGCTGTGTGACTGGGCAGATGAAAGGTGCTGGGGGGCCATGAGCTCGCAGTGACCTCCACCCGGACACAATTCCATGCTTTTCTGATACTGCTGACTCCCAGGAAAGGGATGGGGGACCCTGTCTGGAGTTTCTGTGAGACCATTATCCCTTCCATTTGCAGTTACTCAATGCAACTCCTTACTTCCAACTCTGGACTTCCCTGGGCTCCAGATTAGAACAGTTTATGGAAGGATTATGGCCTCCCTCCCTTTGAAATGTGGCCCTGAAATATTTTCAAGTCTAGATTTTTTTTTATTAAGTTTATAATTCTTCCTGGGGACCTCAGTAGGTTTTTAAAGAAAATAACCAAAGATTATGGAATAATTCTTATGATACTGATTCAAAATTTAAAAATTAACAATAGTATATTTTGCTGTATAATTTTTATCTGTTCGTGGGTGTATTTTATCAAGCTCTTTATTTTAGTAAACAGCCAGATTACCTAAATTTTAATTGCAGCTATGGCAATAGAGAGTTTTGTGACCTCAAGAGAAACTTTTGTCTCATTTTTTTTATCGGTAAAAATTAAGAAGCTGAATGGATGATTTATAAGATTCCTTCCAGTTCTAAATATTATTATTCTGAATTTGGAATCTTAAAAGTGTTTGATTTACTAATCCAATAATATAATCTCTCAGAATAATTTCCATACTGCTATTTTCTTCACATTACTAGGATGAAAACATCCAGATAATCTTGTGATCATCAAGAGTCTGCTTTAACATTCTTTTGTCATTCAAAACTACTCATCTGTTAGTAAAAATTAGGGGTCCAGAATGTTACCTTGTTCTGTGACTAGTGGATATATTAAGAGTTTGTCACATTTCCATTTCTCATCTGCAAAATAACTTAATGATGCTTGACCTGTGTTATGCAAAGGATTTGGTAGTGTACATAAAAACTAAATGACTCACAATAAAGATACAACATAAATTCAAAGGAGTATTTTCCAATTATACAGACAATCTATGAAAGTAACTTCAATGTCCATAAATCATTCTTAGATCTGTTCTTAAGAACTTCTGTCTAGGACTTCTATGTTGCTTAGCAGAAAAAGCTAATTGCGGAAGAAATGTATCTATGTTGAGCAGTATAGCCGGGGTTCAAGAACATCCTCAACCTCTAAAGTTCAGTAAAAACAGCCCTCCAGAGTGCATAAGAAAATTAAATGGTGGTGGCAAAGAAGAAAATGGTTTCCTTTAATACTCTGCCTTCTCTGAAACTTCTAGAGTGATTAAATGTAGATATTGACTGTGACAGTGGTTACCATGGTGTATACATTTGTCAAAACACATCAAAACAAGCCAGGCATGGTGGCACACGCCTGTAGTTTCAGCTCTTCTGGAGGTTGAAGTGGAAGAATCTCCTGAGACAAGGAGTTTGAGCTGTAGTGCGCTTATGATTGTGCTATGGATAGCCACTGCACTCCAGCCTGGGCAAGAGAGTAAGAGCATATCTCTAAAAGAAACAAAAAGCACATTAAACTGTACATTTTAAACGGATGCATCCTGTTGAATGTAAATATAATCAACACAAATAAAGAAAAGGGTAGGGGAACAGCTCTCTGACAGACTGGTAATCAGACAAAAGGAAATCAGATGACTTGAATGTTTGTTTCAGGAATAAACCTGGTTGCTTTAGGGAAATCTCGAAACCTCTGTTTCTACTTTCTCTGGTGAGAAAGTGAGATTAAATTAAAGTGAGATTAAATTTCCATCCTGTAGTAAGATAAAGTATATGATGAAAATGATTCTTAACTTTTTGAGTTTTGGTTATTTTGAGAAACTGATAAAAGCTACAACATTTTTCTCTAGAAAGATATCATAAAAATTGCATACCATTTGAGGGGCTTCACAGCCCTCCTTTCCCCAAATTCATTCATGAAACCCCAGCAAAGAATGCTTGCCTTAGTGTTTTAAAGTGAAAGTTCTATAAACCTAGAGTAGTAGGTAAAGGTAGATGAGAAAATGCTGTTTTGTTGTTGTTTTTAGCACTTGTCTCTGTGCTGGGGAATGAGAATACACTGTTACACAAAGAAAACAGCCCTTGCCTTTAAGGGACTTTTGATTAAAGTTCAGACACTTGGTCACAGTTGAATGTCATGCTCTTGGTGAGTCAAATATTATTATTAACCTATCAAATTAAGTACTGCCCTAGCTTTGTTGTTACTAGTTGATAGTTTATCTGGGGATTTATCACTTGAAAACTTTGATGCAAAAATGATTCTAATACGTGGTATTATAATCAAGTACTTATTTACAGTTCTCTTTCTCCCTCCCCCTACCTTCCCTCCACATTGCTATCTTCTTTTCTAACACTTCCATCTCACTTGTCCTTTCTCCTCTGCTCCCTCTTTCTTTTTTAGTTCTCTGTCTGGTCTGTCTTCCTTCAGTCCTCCCTACTCTCTGCCTTATCTCTGTCACTCTTGCTTCATTTTCTCCTAAGCTTTCTTCTCTCCATTTTCATCTTCTTTAGTACTCCTGTCTAGGTAAACGGTTAATGTACAGGGAAAACTCTGTGTTTAGTCAGCCCAAATTACAATGAAAAATTTCCTCCTTTATCTTGCCATCAGGAAATGCCTCCTAAGGTGTATTGTACTAATTATGCTTTATTTTCATTGGCTTAGAAGTACAAGATCTTCTGGGGTGATGTCTCCCAGGACTATTAAAGTTGCCCATGTTTACTTCAGTTGCTCCTGGTTTACTGCAGATTAAGCCTGGAAGAAAGAAAAAATGTAGCTGGGATTATTGCCTTTTTTCTTATCCTTTTATTTTCCACATGTGGAAGAATGCTTAGCAACCCTTTAGGACCCTTAATGACCCTTTGGTGTTTGTCTTTATGGCAGGACCACCAGTAATGGCAAAATAAACACTTCATTTCCACAAAGGATGAAACTCATAGGTCCTGCCTCCCAGAGGGGTTCCCATGATGGCAAAGCTGAGCTCAAGTACCCACACTGGATGCCATAGAGCCATGATAAATGGCCCCAGTCATAAAAGGTTTATATTTGTTGCTAAACAGAAAAAATATTTTTCTTCCTTCTTGGGAATAATTGGGCTACTTGCTTGCTCTTCCATCTCAATTAGATGTTTCTCCAAATAGGAGCAGTGAATGGTGATGTTGAGCTATAAGACATAACTGAATTTCACCTTGCTGTAGGATTAATAGTAATTCCACTAGTGGCCCTCCTAATTGATTTCTCCCATCCTTTCACAGAATCATGATGGCAGCATCGACTTCCGAGAGTATGTGATTGGCTTGGCTGTCTTGTGCAACCCTGCCAATACAGAGGAGATCATCCAGGTGGCATTTAAGGTACTGTCAGCCCCATTGAAAGCATCTTGGTCTGCCTCATAAACAAGTGTTGACTCTAAGTGTATTATTTGAAAATCAGTGAATCTATTACATGATTTTATAGATCTGCTGTGACATGTACAGGACAATAATGTGATTAAGTCAGTTGCTACAGAGAATAAAGAAAACAAGCATTCGTTTAAGCAAAAAGTCTTTAAAAGCAGCCTAATTAACAGCATCAAGATTGAAGAGCAGACGATTTCATAAATTAACTTAAAAAATTATTTCTTTTCAGCTTCCCCATTTTGAACCCCCAAAGGGAAGTTTATAAATAAACATCACCTGTCACTAGTCATCCTACCTCACTCTCAGGAAAGTTCTGATCTATCCTTATTTTCTCATTCTGTATATCAGTGATATTTTCAGTAGTATGTTTTGTAATGGAATTTGTTTATTCATTGTTGTATCAGGTGAACTCCATCATAAATATCCAAAGTTCCTACCCCTCATGTCTTCCCGTAGTATCACATATATTTTCACAGCAATACAGGGATCTAAATTGGGATCCGATGAATAAAATTCATTCCCTGGTTCCCACAGAGCTTGATGAAAGTTTGAATTTTGAGGACCATTTACTTACAAGTGTGAAAGAAGAGGAAAGAATACATTTCCAAAATATATGTTCTGTTCTGAGCGTAAAGGGGCTTCATCTAATCAGTATGTTTAAATATGACACTCCCTTTTAGTTCTAAGCTTTCATGGTCATCTCTCAAGTCAAAGAGAAACTTGATTTCTCTCTTTATCTTGCTAAGCTATGTATGTTGGCTCTTGTTGGACAGCCACTTAGTTTCCTTGCTTTTGTCCAATAGAAAAGCTGCAGACCTTCTCTATTTCTGTTTCTACTCGTCTCTTCCTGGCTTTCTTGGAGAAGAATATCCCACTGCAATTCCAAGAAGTCTTTTCTCCCTCTATTATCTAGAAAGTCTTTCTTCTTCCAAGAGTTCTTTCTTTTGTCTTAGAGGCCACTTGGGATAAGTCTTAGGAATTTTTATGTGTACTATCATTGACAGAAGAGCCCTTGAGTTTACTTTTTATTTCAGATTGGTTTAAACTGAGTTAACTGCTACGCCTATAAAGAACCTAAATGGTTGATGCTTAGCAGATGGTCATAAGGCAAAGGCCAGACTTTTTCCAAAGTTTAAACCTTTCAGCATTTACAGACTTATTCATCATAAAACCTAAAATTACACACATAGCTAACTTTTTCTGATCTAGATATTTCTGTTTCTGTTTTGGGATTGTATGTGTAATTATAAGTTTAGTTGAGCAAATGGTCATTTTGGTTTACTAATGAAAGACCTGATAGAAAATTTGGCCCTTAATCACAGTAATTGTGTTTTGAAAGAAACTGAGATTTTTATCTAGCCTAGACCTTGGTTTGGGGAAGGGGACGGGAAGAAAGGAGGGCTTAAAACTATAATTAGCTCTTTTTTTTTTCCAGTAAGGCAAGAATTATGCTTTACATTGGTTATTTTTTAACCTTCCTTTTCTAGTGTGTTTTATGTTTTGGAAGTATTTTTGCATACTTTTTATTTAGTAGTATCCTTTTACTTACAGGATTCTTTTGCATCCTTTTATTTGGATAGCACTTCACAGTTAATTTCTCATCTTTTATATCATTTCACCTTCACAGTGACACTTAGAGTTAGATTTTATTAGTCAAGATTCTTCATTTGCAAGCAGTAAGATAGACTGGCTGACTGATGCCAAAGTGGAATTATTTGTAAGGCCAGGGAGTAGACTCAAGGGAAAACTTGCAGCCAGGCAGCTTCAGAGATCCTGGCTGCAGGAACAGCCTTACATCCTCCCTGGGCACTGCAGTTAAAATGAGCAAACTCCAACTCTGTTCATAATGTACATTTCAGGGAGGCTCCAGCTGGTCTTGGGCCATGTTTTTGATGGGAAAGACAGAATGTTTTCATTAAGATTCCACATTATTCTGTGAGATGGGGAGATATCAGTCACTACAACAAAGGAAACCTGGGGTGTTAAACTTTTTACCAGAGTACAGATCATGCATGGGGTTTACCTTAGATCTAGGAAATATGTCGTGGGGAGTGACAAGTAAGTGAGGGAAATTCAAGAGTTTAGTGAGGGGAGTTATGGCAGAGGACACATATAGAGGAAGTAAAAGTCTCTAGTAGGGACCATGTAACTTATACAGAAGTGACAGACACCAAAGCACCAAACCCGACAAGAATTTAGACTGTTCAGATGAGTTGGTACAAATTGCTTAGGCATGGAAGGCCTCTGAAGAAAGGTTAGAGCTTGTTAGGAAGGAGCTATGACTGAGTCCTGGCAATTACTGTGTGAAGTCCAGGGCGCATGAAGAGCCTGAGGTCTATAGTTTGTGAAAACAGATGTGATTCACTTTTCACTTTCCAACTATTTTATCCCCTAACTTGGGACTGAGTGGTAGGAAGTGGACTTGAAGCCAGAGCTTTGTCTGCTGGATCAACAAATCTGAACTTCAAGTTATATTTTTTTATTCTTCTACCCTTTATGGATCATTAAAATGCTATTCAATATTTGCTTATTATTTTTTTCATGGTCATCACCCCTTGTCTAATACTAGTTTTTCTCTATTTTTGATCTTGTGTTTGGTCAGAAGTAGAAATCTCAACATCAGGAACTCTAAATATTATCTGTCTGGATTGGGATGCCCCCTGTACCACTTGCTAGTGGTGTGACCTTGGGAAAAGCTTCCTAACTTCCTTGCCCCTCAGCTTTCCAATCTGTAAGATAGGACTGACAGTAGCACCTACCATAAAACTATTGTGAGAGTTGAGTTAATTCATACATGTAAAGTGATTTGAACACTTCTGATCAGTGCTTCTAAAAATTAAGTACTCATGTCATTAAAAATTCTTAAGACCCAGGAGAAGATTTTGAATAAGGATATTAATTGTCTGTCAATTATCCTTATTTTGCCTGATGACTTTCAGTCTCCCCCATTCTACTGCCTTTTCCCCTCCTCCTAAAAACATATTCAATCTCTCCCTGCCTAAAACAACCTCTTTTGTGCTTGGATACTACCCCAAGTTTCCCTTTCCCTTTGTTTCATCATTTCTTAAAATGAAGAGTCCATACTTCTTGCCTCTGCTTTTCAGTCTGTTCATCTCTTGATTCCCATTACCGTCTTGCTTCTGGTTCCCTGAAACTGTTTACTAAAGTCATCAGGATCCTCTAATAATCAAATCCAACAAACTGTTTTGCTTCTTGCTTGGCCTTCCTATGGCATTTTGCTCTGTTGACCCACACCACTGTTAGCATGTCTTCCTCTTTCCTGAACACACTCCCTTAGCTTCTAAGAGGTATGCTCTTATTTCCTGGTTCTCCTATCTGACTGCTTCTCCTAAACCTTTTCTGTCAGAACTCCTTTCCACTGCTCATATCTCAACTGTTGCTGTTCGCAGGCCTTTGCTTTACTGTGTGCATTCTCTACGGATAAGTTTAAACATACTCATAGTTCCATTCTTACCCAAATTTATAACTCAATACTCATCAGTTTCCTAAAATGATAAGCTGAATCTCTGACTTACTCCTGGCACCTCTGATTCAAATTTAACCTCTCTAGGTCTAACTCTTGGTCTCATTTGACACTTGTTCTGTTTCCCCACTTTGGTTAAGGTAATCAGCGTTTACTCAGTTGCCTAAGCTAGAAGATACCAATCATCTTTGCTTCTTTCCTTTCTATCACTACAGACCCCTTATTGATATGCAAGTCCTGTCTTTGCTTTTATGAATTGTATCCCTTCCTGTCCTTCCTGCTTCTCAACCTCAGACTCTTAATTAGATTTCCTGCCTCTGGTTTTATCAATCCTTTGCCCCCAATTCATCCTCCATACTCTCCCTCAAAGAGTTTTCATAGTTCTCATAGGATCACACCACTTCCACTCCCATTATAATTTTACAGGATTTTATGAGAAATTATATGCCCACCATAATTTAATTCCTGTTTTTCTCTGTCTTCTGACTGGAGCTCCAGGCAATCACTTGCCCTTCCTTGTATATTCCGGGAACTTCTCTTCATGTTCTAAGACCCAACTCAAATGTCAACTCCTGTAAAACCTTCTGTTCCCCATGGAGCCCCCCTATCCCTTTGTACTATGTACCATTGGTATAGCTCCTGTTTCAATCCTGTCTCTGTCAACCACCAAGCTCCAGGTGTTATGAGGATAGCAGAGGTGATACTTTCTTAATATACGTATTTCTAGCCCATGCCACAGTAGATGTTTGAATTATTAAAGACTTTATTTTCTAAGATTATTCCCCACCACTATGACCCTGAGGGAGCTAATTCTTATATTTTATTTTCTTCAGCTCTTTGATGTTGATGAGGATGGCTATATAACAGAGGAAGAGTTCTCCACCATTCTACAGGCTTCCCTTGGAGTGCCTGACCTTGATGTTTCTTGTCTCTTCAAGGAAATAGCCCAAGGGTATTCAATTTCTTATGGTGAGTAGGCAATCTGGCCTCCTATCTTAGTTCACAAGGAGGACATCCAGACTATGGACTGCTGCTCAAGAGTACTGTTTCTCTTAACTAATTATATTAATAATAAACATAATAGTAATAATGATGACCACAGTAATAATGGTAGTAATGGTACTAATTACTGAGGACTTACATGCTAGGCACTCTACTAAACATTTTATATATATATTAACCTGTTTAATCTTTATAGCAAGCCTATCTAATCCGTATTCTTAATTATTCTTATTTTACTAAGATACAAAGAATTTAAGTAACTTATCTAAGATAATTCAGCTAAAGCACATCAGAACCACAATTCAAAAACCAAAACAGTTTGACTTTGGAGCCTGCACTATTAACTCTACACCTTAGTGCTTTCTACTGTCAGTGTGGCCAGACAAAACTGAACAAGTTAACCAGGTAGATTGCAACTATAGTAAAGGAACATGGACTGAGGCACCAACAATAATAGCAACTGAACCATTTATTGATGTTTGCTATTCGTGACCTATGTAAGTTTTCACATTCCTTGTCTCATGCCATCTTGATAGCAACTCCTGTGAGTTAGGGTCTATCATGGAGAAAGACCCTGTGGCACAGTGGCAGGTCTATCCATCAGTAACTGTCTTTTGATGGCTCAAGTCCACCCATCAAAACAAGTTGCATAGGGCTGAAGGATGGTGCATCAATTTCTCTATATTCACAGTGCAGTTGTTGAGAAAGACATCTCAGTGGAGAGGCCAAGAAGATTGTTTCCCTGTCTTGGGTTTGATGTGGTCATGGATGTCAAGCTGGCTTATCCTCCTCAGTCTTTCCCCTGAAGCTGGAGGGAGACTCTTTAATTACTCTTTCCTTATGGTGTTCAAGAGTTTCAGCTTGTTAACTTTCATGGGATGGGAAAAGTAGATTACATACTTCTCTTACTCTCTGTTTTTAATTACTGTCATTTAGGTAATTAAATGCGTAGGGCACTTAATATATTGAGTTCATTTGAAAAAAAAATAGAATAAAATGGGAAGTATATATACTGAGATGAAAGTTATGAGTCATAAACTCATGTGTACTGATTCTTCTTTGGCTATTTTCTTTTCATAAGTAAGGCTCTCTATTACTCTAAACTACTAAATTTTGAAAAACTATTTGGAGTAACTACTTCAATGGAAGCTAGTACTTAAAATGCTTTGTAGGTAGCCATAATAACCTGTCAAATTAAGTAATTTTTCGGGGAAATCGGCTTTGTTTTTTGGAGTTCAACCTTTTTCTTTATGTAATACACAGAATGTCTCCCCTTTCCCGATGTTAGGGAAATCTGCCATTTTTTTCAAGAATGTTTGAAGTAAAACAAACAAGCCCATTCAAAAATGGGCAAAGGATATGAACAGATACTTTACAAGAGAAGACATACAGGAGGCCAACAAACATATGAAAAAATGCTCATCATCACTGGTCATTAGAGAAATGCAAATCAAAACCACATTGAGATACCATCTCACACCAGTTAGAATGGCGATCATTAAAAAATCGGGAAACAACAGATGCTGGAGAGGATGTGGAGAAATAGGAACACTTTTACACTGTTGGTGGGAATGTAAATTAATTCAACCACTGTGGAAGACAGTGTGGCAATTCCTCAATGACCTAAAAATAGAAATCCCATTTGACCCAGCAATCCCATTACTGGGTATATATCCAACAAATCATTCTACTATAAGGACACATGCACATGAATGTTCATTGCAGCACTGTTTACAATAGCAAAGACCTGGAACCAACCCAAATGCCCAACGATGATAGACTGGATAGGGAAAATGTGGTACATATACATCATGGAATATTACGCAGCCATCAAAAACGATGAGTCCACGTCCTTTGTAGGGACTTGGATAAACCCGGAAACCATCATTCTCAGCAAACTGACACAAGAGCAGAAAATCAAACACCGCATGTTCTCACTCATAGGTGGGTGTTGAACAATGAGAACACATGGACACAGGGAGGGGAGCACTACACACTGGGGTCCGTTGGGGGGAAATGGGGGAGGGATGGGGGGTGGGGAGGTGGGAAGAGATAGCATGGGGAGAAATGACAGATACAGGCGAGGGGACAGAAGGTAGAAAACCACACTGCCATGTGTGTACCTATGCAACAGTCTTGCATGTTCTTCACATGTACCCCAAAACCTAAAATGCAATAAAAAAAAATTTAAAAAAAAAGAATGTGTGAAGTATTTAAATGTAATTTTATTTAAAAAGTAGATATTGCTATCTGTCATGAATGTGACCATTTAAATTGTTTAAATGTGACCCTTTAAATCAGGGGTCCCCAACCCTTGGGCCATGGACCGGTACTGATCTGTGGCAGTTAGGAACAGAGTTGCACAGCAGGAGGTGAGTGGCAGGTGAGTGAGCATTACTGCCCAAACTCCGACTCCTGTCTGATCAATAGAGGCATTGGATTCTCACAGGAGCGCATGGGCCCCATTGTGAACTGTGCATGTGAGGGATCTAGGTTGCACACTCCTTATGAGAATCCAGTGCCTGATGATCTGAGGTTGAACAATTTCATCCTAAAACCATCTCCCCCATCCCCTCTACCATCAATGGAAAAATTATCTTCCTTAAAACCAGTCCCTGGTGCCAAAAAGACTGGGGACTGCTGCCTTAAATTACTTTTATTTTTGGTTTTCCATTATCTAAATTAATGCCCAAATTCCACTTAGAGCCAATCACAGGACTTTCAGAAATGAATTACTCTTTAATGCCACTGACATCCCAGCAGAGGATCTTGATCTTTTGAACATAGCACAAGTCTTGAAATTAAAGTTCTTGGTTTCAGTAGATCAACTGTCATGCTCACTTATCTTCGAGGTCACTGAAGTCTACTATGTCTCCATCACTGAAACAGACTCATGTAGATGAAGCTGTATTTATTTTGATTTCTTTTTCTATAATGTATCCCTAGAAACAAGAATCTTTATTTTGGAAGTTAAAAAAGAACAATTAGTAATTTGCCTGATTTAGAAAGAAGAAGTGGTCTATTAATGCAAAACAACATTGCAATTGCAAATAATGATTTGGGTTCAATCTGGTGACTTCCTTATCACTAAGACCTGTTTGTTTGTTTTTTGAGGTAGGGTCTCACTCTGTTTCCCAGGCTGGAGTGCAGTGGCATGATCAGGGGTCATTGCAGACTAAGACCTATTTTTATATTCAAGAGTTAGGCAGTCTAATGTGTCATGAAGCAGACTTGCTTATCAGATGATTTTTAAAAATAAATGGATATAAATAAGACATTGAGTTAAAATTCTTTTATTATCGAACCAAATAGCAGCAAATTCAAAGACTATGCTGTCTCTGCTCCAATAAGCTCAATCAAGTTTTATCTAACAAAAAGAAGAGAATGGAGGGATATCAAAATAGAAGACAGAATAGTATTTTAGAAACTCCAGGTTATGGGGAGTTGAGGTTCAAATCCTGATAGTTAACTGAGTAAGCCTTTAATAGCCCCACCTCAGCACCTAAAACACTTGAGATAAAAAGAACTCCTCTATTAAAGTCCTCGTGGTATGATTATTTTATATTGTACAGTTCCTATCCATTATTGATGATAAATCAAGGCTCAGCTTTTTAAGACTGTATTTTTCTGTACTAGAGTTAAGGGCTCAAATAGTTTTAAAAGCCAGTTATACAAAGTGCTGGGTAACAGAATTTTTGAAACATCTTTTAATTGCTAGAAATAACAAAAATACCAAAAACTAAATAAAGCATAGTAAACACAATGAAGTTTTATAAAGTAAACACCTGTGTAACTACCATTCAAGTCAAGAAATAGAGCTTTTCCAAAACTCCAGAAACTCCTGTGTGCCCCTTCCCAACAACACCTCTACCTCTCTCTTAAAGGAGGGGGCTACTATCCTGACTTAAAAAGAAATCTCTGCCTTGCTTTATTTTACTCTAATAGTTCACTCCAAAAGTGTGTATCTTTAAATATTGTATTTTAGTTTTGTCTCAGTTTTTGAACTTTATATAAATAGACTCATACAATTATGCATTCTTTTATATCTTGCTTTTTTCATTAAACATTACGGCTTTAAGATTAATCCATGCTGTTATTACATAGCTGTTCATTCATTTTCATTGCTATATAGCCTTATGTTCTATGAGTATGACACAACTTATTTATGCATTTCTACTGTTCATAGACATCTAAGATGTTTTTGTTTTTTATCTATTGTGAATAATGTTGCTGTGAACATGCTCATACATGTCTCTCAATATACACAAATTTCTCTAGGTTATATACCTCAAGAGGAGAATTAATGGGTCAAAGAGTATGTATATCTTCAACTTGACTAGATAATGGAAAAACTATGGGTCAAAGAGTATGTATATCTTCAGCTTGACTAGATAATGGAAAAACTATCTACCAAAGTGGTTGTATAATTTATATTTTCATCAACAATGTTTGTGTGTTGAGTAGTAGACTTTTGTGATAATTGCATTATTAGAGTCATTTATTAATCTGCATCATGCCAAAAGAAGATTCACCCTAACTTATTTTTTCTTTCTCTTCTAGAGGAATTTAAAAATTTTGCCTTAAAGCATCCAGAATATGCTAAGATATTTACAACATACCTAGACCTCCAGACATGCCATGTGTTTTCATTACCAAAAGAAGTCTGTACGGCTCCCTCCATCGCCAGTAATAAAGTCAGCCCTGAAAAGCATGAAGACAGTACCTCAGACAAAAAAGATGACTGAAAGCAGTATTCCCAATAAGGAAAACACAAGTAGGTTTTCACTGAAATTGTAAAGGCATTTATTGATAATACTTTTAATGTGTTGCTCTAGTAATGATGTTTAAAATCGGAAGATTTTTAAAATGAAAATCACAGATTTTCTTACTAAAAATGTTTTTATTAACCTTGCTTTTATTGGAGAAAAGCAATATTTCTTTTTCTTTTGTGTTATATTGTACTTTACCAATTGGTTAACTGGTGATACATATGTTTTTATGAATTTTCCAGTTTAATTTGCATATACAAATGAATGCAGTAGTCTTACTATTGGTGAGCATTGAGCCATGCCATATAAAGTTTTTATAAACACTTTTTAATCGACTTTCCTCTGAAAATCAATAACATTCTGTTATCTCTAATCCTTTTCCATTTGGGAAATACAAATGAAGAATCTGAGAATTTTACACCTATAACTTTCCAGATTCATTTTACTTTACAGATTCATTTTTCCATTTAAATTTCAGTTTCTTGGATCACTGAATATGGGAACAGAGAGCTTCATTAGTTAAATGAAACTTCTTAAGAACTTATATTCTCTTTAACATACATCTCTATTGTATATATTTTTTTCCTTTTTTTTTTTTTTTTTTTTTTTTTTTTTTTTGAGGTAGAGTCTTGCTCTGTCACCCAGACTGGAGTGCAGCGGTGCAATCTTGGCTCACTGCAACCTCTGCTTCCAAGGTCAAGCAATTCTCATGTCTCGGACTCCCAAGTAGCTGGGATTACAGGCACCCACCACCACACCTGGCTAATTTTTGTGTTTTTAGTAGAGATGGGGTTTTGCCATGTCAGCCAGGCTGGTTTCAAACTCCTGACCTCAGGTGATCCACCTGCCTCAGCCTCACAAAATGCTGGGATTACAGGTGTGAGCCACCATGCTGGCCTGTTGTAAATTTTCTTAACTACTTGCTAAGGAAATCATATCCTTTTACATGAACTACAGGTTTAGAACTTGGTTTTAAAGACAACTGCTATGGCCAGAGGGTAAATAGGAATTGCCTTATTGAAAGTAGCATTGATTGCCTAATGAGAAAATGAATTGTTTGCCACAGAGCTGAATTTAATTTGAGTTGGATAGTTCAGAATGTAGCACTTGCCCAATAAATGAATCAGATTTGTTCTATTTATATCATATTAGAATTAATATGTTTTACCATCCCAGTGGGAATTTTATTTTGTTAACTGGACTCTCAAATTTCAGAGCTTGTATGAAATATCTCCACAGAAAATACAAAAAGTTTTAAAGTATCAGCCAAAGCTAGGGAATCAAAAAACCTACTTTATTAATGCAAGACCACAATTTAAGCCCCAGGCAGGAATCCAACAGTAACATTTTTCCTTTAGGTTAAGCAATAATTTCTTTGAATTGCCATTTTGATGGATCTCATACATGCATATTGTTCATATCATTCATGTTTGAGATTTTCAACAAAGAACCAATTTATTAATATAAGGTAGAAAAATAGTTGGTTCATTTTCTGAATTCAGTCTTTGAAATAACACTCTTTGTTTTGACTATGTTTCTGAATGTATTGGTGATTCACCCCCAAGCTAATTTTTTAAAGTCATTTTTGAAGTTAGGAAGTCTCATGAGAGATGTTGAAGTATGAATTTAATTAAGAGTCATGATTTCAAACTAGTTTTACATACTAAGCAGTTAGTGTTCTAATTTAATGGGTAAATGTGTATTTGGATAATTAAATACCTGAACATTTCATCCTTAAGTGTATGTAATTATTTGCCTCTTATACATCTTAAAGCTATTTAAACAGGTATTTTAAAAGCTATTTAAAAGGTGTTGAATGAGTCAAAATAATTGTTTGAGTAATTACAATGGTGCATCTTTATTATAATAGTGTCTATCATATGCAATGACTGTATGTAATACTAAAAAATCGTGACTACTTTTATCAAAGAAAAACCACATATTAATCCTATTAATCATGAAAGTGTAGTATTGTAAATTAAAGGTTTTCTATGAGGCTCTTGAAAGTGAATCCATTGTTTTCCTGTTTTAAAATAATATTTTATGCTCGTTATTTCCACTTCTGCGTGATATTTTTATTTTGTGATTATGTTACTGGATAAACAAACTTGCTACATAAAATTCTTAGCAATTAAAAATATTCTGATTTTGTCCTTCTGTCTCAAATGTAATATGCCTTTTTAATATCATGGTTAGGGTATATTTACATATTTACGAATATGATTAATCATTTCTGTTTGCATTAAGCTTTATGAAATGTCAGGCATGATTTTATTCTAATGAAAAACTCAAATTTTTCTTGAAGTAGCAATAGTTATTCTTAAAGAACTTAAATTCTGGTTGAATTTTATATAATAACACAAGTCATGATCATTAATGTTACTGCAGACCAGGACTCTGCTTATATGCCTTGCTAACAAAGATTTCTTTCACAGAGGCTTTTCTCTTCTTAAGATTTAAAGTAAGAAATTAGATTTTATTAAATCAGTTAAATGCACCAGGGTTTCATACAATAATATGAAAAAATTACTCTTTGAAGTGAAAAATATATCCTAAAACCTTTAAGCCATAAAAATTTCATTTGAAACAGTTCTGTTGAAGGATAGTGACAAACTGACTGCTTATAGACTAAGTTACCTGCATTATGTATATTTAGGCCTCCCCTGCCACTGCCTTTAGAGCCTTGGAAGGCTGAGCATGATAGTAATGCTAGTTCTAATGGATATTTAAAGGAGACTGCCTCTCTTTTAGAAGACATCTGGTCTGCTCTCTGCATGAGGCGTAGCAGTAATGCCATCTGATTCCCAGAATCAAGAACTCTCCCCTTCAGATTATTACCAAATGCAAGGTGGTTAAGTGAAGGCCATTAATTGATGCCCAAATAGAAGGGCAACTGACTATATTGGAACAGATGGACTCTCTACTACAAAAGTCCTTGGGTATTTGTTTCTTATATAGCAAATGCTAACATGGATAGACAGATACTGGTACAAGACCATTCCCTAGGGAAGCAGACATAGTTACTTTTTTTTTCTTTTCTGCTTATTTGAATGAACTTCTCAATTTTTTAAATTAAATTGTTATATCAGAGTGATAAGTAAATGCTATGTTATGGTTTGATAGAGATGAAGTTCTTCATATATATTCAGAATACATATTACAAACTTTGGTAATAGGATAAAAATCTGAAGAACGTTTGCCCTTTTTAACCCCATTTACTGTAACTCTGGTTTCTAGGTCATCTTTCTCTCCCAACAAACTTCTCAAGGGATAACATGTTCTCCTAATGTTATCCCTCCCCACTTCTCCCAACCCTGCTATCCCTCCCCTAGCCCCCGCTCCCCGGCAGGCCTCATGTGTGATGTTCCCCTCCCTGTGTCCATGTATTTTCATTGTTCAACACCCACTTATGAGTGAGAACATGTGTGTACCTATGTAACAAATCAGCACGACCTGCACATGTACTCCAGAACTTAAAGTATAATTTAAAAAACGAAAAAAAACCCCAACATGTTCTAACAGTCTCCACTGCACTTCAAAACCCAGCTCCCAATGTTTTATAACATATTGACTTTATCATTTTTCTCATCATCATTTTAAAAGAACTTATGTACATTATAAAAATAAAAAACGTAGAGAAAAATATAAACAGAAAAAATCATGCTTACTTCTACCACCTTAAATCAACTATTATCAAGTTTTTGACATATTTTGCTCCACCTTTTTTCAGTTTCTTACATTTTCAAAATAACTATGTGTATAACCTGTTTTATATCCTACTTTTTCACTTACACGTGACATTTTCCAATGTTATTAAAATTTTCTGTGAATGAGCCGGGCACGGTGGCTCAAGCCTGTAATCCCAGCACTTTGGGAGGCCAAGGCGGGTGGATCATGAGGTCAAGAGATCGAGACCATCCTGGTCAACATGGTGAAACCCCATCTCTACTAAAAATACAAAACATTAGCTGGGCATGGTGGCACGTGCCTGTAATCCCAGCTACTCAGGAGGTTGAGGCAGGAGAATTGACTGAACCCAGGAGTCGGAGATTGCGGTGAGCCGAGATTGCACCATTGCACTCCAGCCTGGATAACAAGAGTGAAACTCTTCTCAAAAAACAAAAAATTATCTGTGAATGTAAATTTTAAAAGGTGTACCTACTGTTTTTTGGAAATCTGTAACAAGCTATGTGTAATCATTCTTCTAATATTAAACATATGAGTTTGATTTTCATTTTCACTTAGGATCTGTTACAAAATCCCTCAATATTCCATAGTAGTTCATAATTAGAAAGTCTGCTAAGAGACTTATTTATACTTCCTGAAAAATTCACCGAAGATTTTCCCATTATTAAAGTTGGTTTTAAACTACTTTTATTACAGGAAAAAGTTGATATTATTATAGATTACATAGAGTATGGTAATTTGAATTTCATGTAAAATTATGTGAAGGTAATTTTACATGAAGTTAACAGGTTCATGTCTTTTAAAGGTTAGTAGATTTTACCTTTCAAAATATTTTTTCCTTTGTAAAAGTAATAGACAACAATTATTACAGTAAGTGATAATAATTATAATAGCTACCTTTTGGAGTACCTACCTATGTATTAGTCATTGTGGTAAGTGATGTACAGGCATCTCATTTACAGTTCAACTCATTTGCACCTCAATGAAGCATATTTTTGTCCCTATTTATTTAACAAAATTTAAAATTATTTCTAAGTCACTCATTAAATGACAAAGCTTAAACCAAATTTTGTCCAATTCCAAAAGCCATATTTTTAATCATTTATATAAAACAACACAGCTGCCTGATTTATAGAATTTATAGTTTTAGCTTTTGCCATATATTTTTTTACTGATGAATGAAAGATATCAAATGTTGACTTTTTTTTAAAATGGAAGACAGAGGTAGTTTAGAATGGCCTCTTTTCAGTCAGCCGAAAATGCCAAAACCTTCTATGAGTAGTCCAAGTACTGGAAATCAGAGGCAATTTAAACTTCAGTATACTACAATATGTTTTTTTCCTTTGTGAGTAGTGATGGAGCATGAATTCTCTACTTCTTATCAGTCCTTCTGCTGTGATGGCCCTTTCAGTTACACCTCTGTTCTCAAAATAAACATATAATAAATGAAGTAGGGCTTGAGGAACTGAGGACTGAGTCAAAAGTGGGATACCTAGGACTTCATTCTAGTTACTGTGGAATATTGCTTTTCTCCCTGTTTGTGCCTTTTCTGCCCTGTAAATTCTCTTGCCTTACGGAAAGCACGGTGACTGTTTAAAAGCATAAACCAGACATCACTTCTCCAGTTTAGTTTTTTTCAAAGGCCCCCGTTGCATTTTGGAAAAAAATTCCAGATATTCAACATGGCCTACAAAGCCCTGTCACCCTTGAATAGAGTGTTGAGTCTGGCTCCTACCTGTAGTCTAAATCTCAACTGTCTCCAGTCTCCTCCCTCACTAAACTCCTACCATTAAATCTTTCTTTTCTTCAAACTGGCTAATGCCTTATTCTAGCCTCAGAGGTTTTGTTTTGCTGTTCTCTTGGCTACAGTGTTCTTCCCCAAGATTTTTATCTGGCTTTCTCTTCTTTATTTAGACTTTTAAACAAACAGCTTCATTGAGATATAATTCATATACATGAAATTTACCCATTTAAGGTATATAATTTAATGTTTTTACTATATTCACAGGGTTGTACAACCATCACCACATCTTATTTCATAACATTTCGTCTTGATTCAGATTTTAAATCAAATGTCACATCATCCCATAGGAACTCCAGTCACTAATTAGAAATGGCCATTCTGTTTCTACAGACATTCTCAAACCCACTACCTGTTTTGTTATTGCACTCAAACTTACATGAAATTGTTTACTTGTGTATACATTTATTGTGTTTTTCCTAGCACATATAAGGTATGCCTGACACACAGTAAACACTCAATCTTTGATGAATGAATAAATAATAACATGGTTTTTTGCTTATTTTGTCTTGTCTTGTGTAAGATAAGAGACAGTCCTTACAACAAACTTGAAAACCCAGACTTGTGATCTCTAAAACTCATATATAAATTAAGGCTCAGAGAAGTTTCATCACTTGCTCAGAGTTACATAACTGGTGAATACCAGGGCTAGATTTCATACCCAAGGCTGCCTGGCTCTAAATGAGGGAACTTTTGATTAGGCCAAAGTAACCTGAACCCTTAAAATAACCAATTATTTGACAGGCTTCAACTCTAGAAACATGGAAACTAGATAACCTGAGAACCCTCTGGCCACAAAACCCCTAGAATACAGAACACAATATCACAAACATATTTTGAAATGCATAGATGAGCATGCAAAATACTGAGGGAAATCTTCAATGGCCAAAAGGGAAAAGCAGCTGAAAACCAGAACTGTGTAAAAACCTACAAGTTACAGTTGTCCTGTAGACATTTGTGAATCTCAGTAACAAAGGGACTTAGTATTTTTTGGCTATGGAAGACAAAAGACAAGGTTTTTGTATAAGGTGGGAATATTGAACTGAGACCTCAGGAGAGAAAAAAGAGATGAAGGGTTAGAGTCTCAGTAAAAGAATGAACTGGAAAAATTTATCTTCTGGTAAAGAAAGACAAGAAAGTTTTCTATCTTGGGGTGGGTGCTTGGTTGGAGCAGGGGGAAAGACTCTGATTTTTAAAAAACTTTCAATTAAGAAGAAATGTTTCGAAACTTGTTTTATGGCCCAGTCTAGGTATGTCTTGTTGAATGTCCTACGTACATTTGAAAAGAATATGTATTCTGCATTTGTTGAACGTAATGTTCAATAAATGTAAATTAGGTTCAGTTAGTTGGTAATGCTGTATAAATCCTCTATAGCCTCACTGACTTTTTTTGTCTGCTTAATCTATAATTATTGAAAAGGGGATACTGAAATTGCCAACTGAAACCATGATTTTATCAGCTGTCAGTTTGTCTGACGTCCTGCCCTTAGATTCATAATCACTTATGATTTTCATACAGTCTTGAAGAATTCACCCTTTTATCATTATGAAATATTTCTCTTTAATTCTAGTAATACTCCTATGGTTTACGTAGCTACTTCAGCCATACCAACTTTCTTATCATTAGTGTTTGCATGGTGTATATTTTTTTCATTTTTTTACT